AGAGCTCAGGCCCAGGACTCAAGCCAGATCAATGACATCAGAATCTCTGGGTTTGGGGATACCCAGGCCTTGCTGTTTCCAAGACTCCTCAGGATATTCCACTGTGACCCCAAGGACCACTGTTGTAGAGTTCCCTATTTTGAGGAATCACTTCATGATATGAATTAATACAAAAAACAAGAGAATTGGTGCTTAGTCATTGTGAGATTGACACAGATGAAGATTTTTCAAACTGAGAGATAAAATAAAAGCAATACCTCAGAAAATTCAAACCCAAATGGTCCTTTATTTGAGACAGTTTTCTCGTGTTAAACCTAACAAGAAAATGGATCATGACTTAGATGTAAATAGACTGAGACTGAGAGCTGGATTGATCGTCTTTCCTCTATGCTTTAATTCACCTTGCATAGGCACACGCTGACCTCATCTAATACAGGTGATTAAAACCAACATACATCTGCAAGCTTTCAAACCTTAGGTTTGAATAAGTAGGTTGTGCCCTATATAGCTACTAATTTGACCCAGTTACAAGTCCAAAGTAAAAATATTCATTCTTTGATCTGTAATACAACAGAAATCTACTATTAATATAAAATTTGGGGTGTTTCTCTATAAAAGCAAAACACAGATCACAAATTAGCAGTTGCATATTGAGCAAAAAATATGAGAGATATAAATCTTGGTCATAAAAATATGTTATTGTCTTTGGTCTTACAAATAACCTTATTAGTGATTAATCATCTGCATGATCAGACTGTTGCCTTCTGTAGAGAACCATTCAACTACAAACAATTTGAAAATAATCAAGTGGCAGAATTTGAAAGAGATCTCTATAGATGTGTTCTTCATACTTCTGGGCAGTGACCTAATATGTACAATAGTACAAAATAAGCAGCAAAATAAAATATTTATTTCAAAATTTAAATGAAAAGAAATGTGAATAATCTTATTTTTCATATAAAAATATGGAATCTAAAGTTCATAACACTAAAATAAATAAGAACTAAGTTGTTTTTTTTTTTTTAATTGCACATTATCTAACCCAAACTCTGCATTCTCAGATCAGGTAACATTGTGAACAGTACCTACCAAAAGACAGAATGTCGCAAGCATCAGAAGAGTTACAGAGGCCTAACTTTCACATCATATCCTTGTGGTCAGTGTCTGTTAAATATAAATAAGCAATAAAACCTTCTTTGAGATGAGGCTAAAGAAATACTTTTATGGAGCATAAAGACTAGAGTTTTTGCTGATATAGGGAAGCTATGGAGGACACAATGACCTATGTAAAAGTTTAACCTTAAAAATCCATGTTCTCTCACCATGTATCTGAGGGTACAGTCCGTAAGGAAAACCTCAGTAACTACAAAAGTTTACCCGTAATACAAAAAAGAATATTCATAAATGCCATGTTTTACAACATTTATTTGTAATCTTCCTCAGGAGCTTAACATATGTAAGAAAAAAATCCTTATTTAAGTAAAAATCAAGCCTAAAAATAATATACATTTGTAATTTTGAAGCTTAAAATATTACATTTTTAATATTGCCTGCCAACTTGAAGATTTTGACAGATTTGTCAGATTCTTATTATATACCAAAACATTGTTTTGAATAACACTGCAACCAAAAAGAAAAATTACTGTTATAATTTTTTCTATCCATTATAAAATGCAGCAAGTTAAAATCTATAGTATAAGTGATATATGCAACAGGTATTTTTGTTCTTCATGTCTTCATAAATGAAAATTTTTATTTTTTAAAAAATTAAACCAGTTATTTCTTACATTACTACAAGTATTCTTGATTGTGAATTATTCCTATAATGTGGTATAATATAAAGGATTACTATGGTAAATAAGCTCTATTGGAGCTCAAATTACGAGCATTTCAGATACCATGATTCTATTAGATATATTTTAAGGTTTGTTTTTTTTTTTAAAGAAAACGTAGTCAGAAACTATTTAAAACAATTTAAATCAAAAGTAAATTTAATCCATTTTCCTTTGATACATATGTGGAATATGGTAAGTTTTAATGAAGAGAAAGAGAATATAAAAACAGAAAGTAAAATACATTCTAGCCCTAAAATGTTAGAAACCACAGCAACTAATCGATTATTTGGTTATATATGGGCATAAAACATTAATATATTTTCCTAAAATATTAACCATACTATTTTGTAGTGCTAACGTAATTTTACATATCTTATCCACAATTTTAATCAATGTATTTATAAACTATTGAATTTTTCATGAATTTATTACCAATTACAGAAATATAATGCATTTACTTTTAATGTATCCCATGACTTTGTAGCTTCCTTAAAAATGGAAAAATTTTCATAGAAATAATCTTTTTTTGGCGGGGAGTGGGGGCATATTGCTGGGGATGGAACCTAGGGCCTTGTCCATGACAGGCCACTCAAGCGCTCTATCACTGAGCTACATGCCTGTCCCAGAACTTTTATCTGTAACGAAGCTCTGTTTGATAGTCATTTTATAATGACGATTATGTTTGAAATAAGTAAAAGTTCAGAAAGAAACTCAGACACAATCTTCAAAGACGACAAGTAACATTTTAACCCACATGATAGAGTTTGGGTGCAGACACATTTGTGGCTTTTTCAGAATCATAGATTAGATTAACTATGTGTTAAACTAAGGAACTATGCTTCTATCTCATTTCTACATAAAATCAATTGATTTGTGAGCCTTAATCCAAGAACACCAACACTTTAAATTTAAAATTATGTATTTTAAATGGCTACCGTGTAATAAATAAATATTTCCAAATGACCAGCAGCAACAACAACAAAACAAACAAACAAACAAAAATCCACAGAAACCTCTTTAGCAAAGAAATACCTACAAGACATCACACACAGGCAATAAATTCTGTGCCATGGAGAGGAGAAAATTCAAAAAAATTTATATTTTACTTTTCAACGTGAAGAATTTTTTAAAGAAGTTAAGATTTTAAAGGTAATGTGCCTTTGTGTATATACAGCTAACCACTCCTACTTCCTACACAAACATGATGGTGAAGTAGTTCATAACATTACAAATCTAACTCATCCTATGTCTTATAGCTATCACAATTTAAACATCAAGTTGGGAATTAATTTAGGCAAGGAGGAAAATAAGCATTTTAACATATTTGTGTGGACATTTGAACAAAGATAAATCTGATATACGTATAGAAAAATATGCTGCAGTCTCTTGACAACACAGACTATCTTTGAAATACTGAACTATGCAAATTTAAAGTGCTAGAAATTTCTATGAGGGCTTACATTCAAGGGAACAGGCATGTTCAAATTATTACCACAAACTTCTTCTTCAATCTATCAATATTGAAACCTCTGCAACCTTGTTATTAGGAATAGAATTACTCACACACAGCAGTTTCCTTCCCTTTTATATTTTCAGTGCAACACATCTTGTCAAAATAAAAAGCTCCACAGTAAATACACTAAGCATTCATTATTAATTTCTGTCATTAAGATTGAGTTTAAGTCCTAGGCATGAGTAATAATGGTATTATAGAAAATTGAGACCCACTTATCTAGCAAGATAGCATTCTCAGTTAATGCCATAAACTCAGAATTACTATTTCCTAAGATGTATGCTTCTGGTCTTAAGAAATGATCCCAAAGCCAGGTCAGATTGAAGTTAGCTTAACTGTCAAAAGCACAACTAATCAAGCCAAAGCAAAATGCAGCCCTTGACCCATATTTATTTAAAATAGGTATCAAATACCTATTACTGAAATAAATCTTCTCTTGGCAAAGCAATGCAAATCCTTTATCTATACTATCATGGATACAATTTCCAGGTGCATAGCAGGTTAGAGGAAAAGAAGGACAGTTGTTCCCTTTGTGTGTAAGGTTGAGTAAGTAGGGAATAGAAAGAAAGAGAGACAGACAGTGCTGTCTCACTTCTTTTAAAAGGTAATGATATTTATTGTGTTGTTTAATAAATTACCCTAGTGGAAAACACTGAGACTTGTAGAGATTCTGTCATCATTTCTACCCTACCAGAGGTCACTGCAGTATCTTCATCTTAACACTTGCCCTGGAAAATCTCGTTTCAGCACCAGGGACAGCAACACCTCTAGCCTAGGCTTGCCCAGACCAATGCAACTTGTACAAACTTCTTTGTCAGTCAGCAAAGGTTACATTCCTTATTGTATTCAATAGGAAGGGTTTGAATATAGGTTACTAAATATTTCAGTCTATTTTTAACTCATGGCACCAAAGATTTGCCACTTAATACTTATGAAGACTAGTACCCTGGAAAATCCAAAGTAATTACAAAATGTGTCTGATTGATAACCTAACATTGTTAGTCAACCACTAGATACTTAATTACAACTTTCCATGCCTAGTGAATGTCACATCAATGATTATGCAAATGTTAAGAAAAGATAGGAAACTTAAGTAGAGTTAACTAGGCCCCAGACTTTCCAAAGATGAAGAAACAATGCCCTGTAAAAGCAGTAAATGTTTTTGTTGCTTGTCCTACATAAACAACCACACTTTCTCTTGCTCCTCTGGTCAACCAACTTCATGACGTCACTGCACTAGGGTTCAATGTGCAGGTCCACAGGCCAAGCCATGCATGGCAGTCTCTGACTCTTCTGACTACCTGTGGTCACCAGTGTGCGGTCCAGTCTTCATGGTAAGCCTTATTCAAATTCTATTTTTTTAAATATGTAACCGAAACAGTTAAAGCAACGGGTGTATAATCTCAAAAGACCAGGGACTTCCCTGATCCTCCAAGGATCCCCAGAGGAAGACACCAGGCAGGCCACCAGAAATTCACCAGAAATTCTCAACTGAGCAGCAAATCAAGCTCTTTTAACCAGTAAAACAAGGACTGGAGCAACAAAGCCAGAGCCAGAAAATATTTCGAAACTCTGACACATCCACTGAGTGAACAGAGATAGAAAGGGACAAAAAAGGAGGTTAAAAAAGTCAATAAGCCCACTGTTCCTACCTTACAGTCTTCGGGACACGACTTCACCGAGTACTCCTCCGATTGCAAATACTTATGGAGCACACTTTCAAACTCTTCGTACTTCTCCTGAGCGTGGTGGTCGTAGTCTTGGTAAGCCGCGACGCACTGTCTGCAAGTGGTCCTCTCTCCGCCCTCCGTGAGCACCACATCCAGACTGCAGTTCAAAGTGTTGGGACTGGACAGCCCCGAGAACAACTCCCAAAGTGTGTAGGAATTACAAAACGAAAGGTAAAAATCTGACAAGTTCCAGAGCGGAGTTGGATGCTCGCCCCTCGCCTGCTGCTCCTCCCCCCTGGCCGCCGCCCCCCGACTCCAGTTCCTGGCGCACACAGCGTCCGCGCTCTCCACGGTGAAGCACTGGCCCGAGGAGGCGCCCTGGGGGTAACAAGTCTCCAGGCGCCACACGGGTCTGGCAGAGTTTCCTAGAAAAAGAGCCTTGCTCCGGTTATTTTTGCCTCGATTGCCCTTGCCGCCGCCGCCGCCTCCCGGGGAGGGGGGCAGGGTGGGGGACGAGGAGGCGGAGAGGAGTCTGTGTGCCTGGGCGGCGGGCGAGGACTCCCCCATGCTGGCCAGGAGCGCGGGCCAGGAGGGCTCCTGCTGTCGCTGCCGCTGCTGCTGCTGTTGCTGCTGCTGCCGCTGCCGCTGTTGCTGCTGCTGCTGCTGCTGCTGCTGCCGCTGCTGCTGCTGCTGTTGGTGATGCTCCTTGTCCCGGGTCCGGGTCAGTTTGGCCTCGGCGCAGAACCACAAGTGATCAGAGAGCAGGACTGTGAAAAACAAGAGAGATGCCAGAGACAGTCGCCATTTCTGAGCCCTCTCGGAATCGATGAACGGTTTCTCGTTCTCCCGGGGTGCTGCCAACCAGATTTTTAAGCCGTCGTCATACTGTCGACACATCCAAGCACCCCTGGTCATATTTTGGGAACGCACAGCCCTGGCCGACTCCACCGTGAGGGCTCCTGTGCGGGTGTCACCACAATATGCATTGACTTAAAGGGTTTAATTTCCTTATCCCCTCCTCCCGTTTCTTCTCTCTCTCTCTCTCTCCCCTCTCCCTCTTTCTCTCCCTCCCTTTCTCTCTCTCTCCCTCTCTTTTTTCTCTCTCCCTCTCTCTTTGCCTACATAAATATTACCAGGCTTTGGAGGAAGATCTGACTTGCTTCCGACCTAATCATCTGCCGACCCCATCCTCGGTGGAGTGGGAAACAATAATGCAGAGAGGGAGAGAGAGAGGGAGAGAGGGAGAGGCGGAGGAGGCTGAGCTGGTGCTGGCCGGTGGCGAGGCTGAGTACTGGAGGTGATGGTGGAGGTGGCAGGGTGGCTGGCTGGCGCTGCTCCTCTCACCCCGGCATTGTCAGAGCGCGGGTCCCCATGGCTCTGCTGAGGACAACCCGCTCTCCCCTGCCAGGGGCATGCCGCGTCTCCGCTGCCCACTGACGGCGACCAGAGCGCCTCCCCTCCTCCTCTTCTCCTCCTCCTCTTCTCCTCCTCTTCCTCCTCCTTCCTCTCCGTCTCGGTTCACGTCTCCTCCGCCTCCCGCTCCTACTTCGCGCTGCCTCTGCCCGAGTCCGGAGCCTGGGCAGCCGCCGCCGGCAAGGCTCTCCCTCCCCCCCACCCCCCACCCCGCGCTCCGACTGCCGCCGCCGCTGCCGCAGGTCTGCCCGCGGGCGCCGCCGCCGCCGGGGCTCCGACTGCTGACGCCGCCTCCCCCGGACCTCGGGGCCGAATCGCCTGGGCTGGGCCTCCCGAGACCGCAGTCATCTTCAGTCCCCGGGCTAAGTTGCCGCCATCTTCGTCCTGGAGAAACACTTTTTTGGGGGGAGCGCTGAATTTTGCGTCATCTCCTCCCGCGCCGAGGTCTCACCATCCTGGCGCACTGGCGGCGGCCGGGCCCAGGGAGGAGGGCGAAGGCGCGCGGGGCGGCGGGGGTGAGGGCCCACGCGGAGGCCCCCGCCCGTCTCCCGGCCGCGCTTGCCTTTCCTTTCCGTCCCCTCCCCACTTTTTATTTTCTTTTGTCACTGAAGAAAGTCAGAATGCAGAGTGCGCGGCCGAGGCTGCGGTCTGTCTCCAGCATCGACCACCCTCTGCCTCTGAGAAAAGTCCGAGCTGCGGGCGGGAGGTTAGAGATCCCTGCGGGGTCAGGGTCCGGGTGTTGTCATCTCCACTAGGGAATGGTCTCCTTCAAATGGATGGTTGGTAGAGGAGGGACGAAGTGACATTTGCTGACTGTGAATGTGCCTCGCGGTCCCTGGACAACCGAAGATTAACAGCCCCCACTGCGATAAATATTCTCCATGGATTTTATTACAGGGAAGGGACGGTGTGTGTCTGTATGTATCTGTACAGATGGTCACATGTTGGCAGCCACATATGTACTGCATATATATATATATATTATAGTTCCATATTGGCCCACGTTTTCCAGTTCCAAAGTAAACGATTAGAAGTGGACTCGGAGACTTGGGAAAACACAGAAATACCTGCACCACCTGGACCCGGGCGGTCAACGTCTTAATCTCCGAGGATTCCTTCACCTGGGAGCAGCCCCGGTTCGGGCGGCCGCCCCCGCACCCCGCCCGCGTACGCCCAGCCCCCACGCAGTGGGCTCCTCCGCCGCCCAGGACTTCCGCAGCGGCGCGCGGGCTGCCGGCAGCAAGCGCTGCAGTCCAAGGCTCTGGTGCCCCTTAGCGTCGGCTCTCGGAGTTCTGAGAAGGGAAAGTGACAGATGCGCTGGAAAAACCTGGGGTCCCCCGTTTCCGGCTCATAAGGGTGGACGGTGCGAGCTAGCAGCAGACTACTTGGATCTGAAGATTCTCGGCACACCGCCCTGGTCGCCACCAGAGCCTCCGAGCGAGCAGAGGCCGCACTGGGACCAGAAAGGCGCGGCGCACATTAGCAGCGCTTCCAGGCACAGGACCGAGGTGTGCTCTCTCAGGGTCGCCCCCCTTCCCTTCTTTCCAAGGACCCTAACCCAGAGGGTTGCGCATTCGCACTAGCTTTTTCTGGTTCCCTAGTGCTAAGTTACCTGAGAAACCAAAAGGACTGGTCGTGCGTATACATTTTCCTTTTAGAAGCGCCATGGGTGTTGGGATGCAGATGTAGGTATTTTTTAAAATGGAACGTAATGGGCAGGATTCAACCATCTGGTCACTTCCGCGGCATCTAGTGAATTATATACTAAATTTTACCCAAGTAAATTGTAAACTCCTAAAAACTATATGTAATGACTATTGAAAAGCTAGGTTCAGTTCCTCCGCTGATTTATATAGAAATGCCAGGTAATGTTTTAAAAGACTATTTTTGTAAGTATGCCATCCTAGTACCTTGAACTACAATGTATTGAATTTCTGGTTAATATCAGAATTCTTCTCCATAATTCAAACAAAAGTACTAATTATTAACCAGCTTTTTATTTATCAAGCAACTGAATTTGTTACATGTGAACCATCTCGCATATGTGTGTATGTGTGTGTATATATATATATATATATATGCACACATAATTATTGTCATTATACAAGAAGTGTATACAAATTGTAGAAAATTATAAAAAGCAAACGAGCAATTTGAGAGGTCACACCTGAGCGAGATAAAGTGGCGCCATCCTGTGATCCAAACTCCTGGAGGCTGAGGCTGAGGCTGAGGCAGAGGATCCCTTGAGCCTAGGAGTCGAGGGCCAGCCTGGGCAAACATGGCCAGATCCCCTCAGAAAAGAAAATTTAAGTGACCCTAACACTTAGAAAGAGAACTAGAAATGAGAGAAATAAGTGAACAATGTGTAAAATTCAAAGTGTACAATTCCCAAACAAGGGAAAGAAGCAAAGCAGGGCTCTGTTATTTTATCTCATTATTATGCTAATTTAGCTAAATAATGGCTTAGAAAATATTTTAACGATACTTATGCTGCATTAAAATGACAGTGTTTAATGCGATTTCTGATATCTGTAACAGACTTGTGTTATTGCTTTGTTTTAAGTAACCTGTGCCTTGCCTACCTCCAATGCTTCTCATGACTTGGCACATTCTAGAATAGGGACAGGCCATGGAGAGTGAACTGTCCACACCCACTCCTCCTCTGCTTGCTTGATGGTTCTGGAGTGACCAGTGGGGAGACTGAGGTGACAGAGCTGTGCTACTTCAGAAGCCAAGGCTGGGGTGGGGAACCAAGCAGGGCCAGCAACCATAAGGCAGTGACTTCCCTGGATCAGTCAGAGGAACTACAACTGACCTCCAACTGGATCTTGAAGGGACCCAGGGATGGGGAGGTGCTGGAGGTACTGGTGGGGATCAGGAAGAATTATTTTAGAAAATAGAAAAGGAATTTTGGAAGAAAAACAATGCTCATGGAGTCAGGGCCCTAGAGGGTGTTCAGATAAGCTGTCTGTTCGAGTGAGCCACACACCTGGGAAGGAGTCAGGGAGGAGACCAAAGGATGCTGCATAGTAAGCAAAGGAGAATGGATTTTCTACTGAAAGAATTGGGATTCATTAAGGAAATTACAATTGTGATTAGAATGTTCATTTTGATTAACAACAGTGTTCGCTACAATCAAAATGAGAAATATGTTCAAAGGAGGTGCTATCTAGATTAGAAAATGTTGATTCTTGTTAGTTTATCAACTAAAATATTGCACAGTGGAAAAGAAGAGCGAATGGCTTGCTGGATGTAGGCTCATTTATCAGGAGACGGAGGCTGTGGAGTCTAGAACTCCTGCGTAGGTTTTTACCTGGGAGTGTGACTAATGGCACAGAGAAGTTAAATAGCACTGGCATATTTCAGGAGGCTGCTGAATAGCAGACAGTTGCAAATACATTATATTGAGGGATCTGGTGCCAGGATGTTCTTTGTACTAGAGAATATTGCAGAAATGATCTGCATATATATCATGGCTCCATGTTTACTGTTCAGACAGTAGTGCATACATCCTTCAAAGATTCAAAGTCTTAAGTTTTTTGATAATGCCTGTTTTCATAAGAATCTGTATTTTTATTCCTATTTAAGTGGTTGAGTTTGTGACACATTAGAGGGGAGATGGGCTGCTTATTCTGCATTCATATTATAAAATAATAAAATGATACAAATAATTGTAAATTTTTCAAACATTTTTCCTTACCTTTTAATGTCTCAACAAATTTTATAATAGGAAAGTATTAAAATCAAGAAGAAACATCTTCTTTTCAATAAAAGCAATTACTTATATATGGCCACTCAATAATAGAAATTGATATTTTCTTTGTTCACTCTGAATAACTGCTGGTACACAAAGATAAGAACAATCTAGAGGATGTGCCTATACAATATTTATGTTCCACACAAGTGACACTAGATTTTTATTTCATTCATATTGATCTAGTAATGGAATTTTGTGTTTTCATAATTCACAAGTAATGTGATCAGCATGTTTACATTTTTTAAGGGATTAAATATAAAGAGTAATAGAGAATAGTCTACACTTATTTATAAGCTTATGAACACCCTATAGTCTGCTAATGTAAACCTCTCTTTAAGATAAAAGCAGATTCTTGCACCAGCAGAGATCTGAGAGATTCAGTTGTTCCCCAAGATGGCAAATATGCCCAGATCTGTGCAACAAAGTTTCCATCTAGACTTGATTGAGCTAATTTGATAGAGCTATAATGTCCTCTCTGTCTGTTCCACAATGCTATAGTTCAGTGATTTTCAAATTCTGGTGGACAGGATATCAAGTTGGGACTTAGTAAACTTCTTTGAAATCTGCTTCAGTAGAATTAGCGGGTAGTCTAAAGAAACTCTTTTGACAAGTCCCCTTGGCAACTTTGTATGACCAATGAATCCTTCTGTGCCAGGAAGAGACTTGCTGGATAGGGTGGTTATTGTCAATCACTGAAGGAGCATGCCTGAAATAACAATCCAGTGTCAAGATTCCTCTGCAAGAGAATGTGGTGTTAATATCATTTGTGAGTAAGATCCAGGGTGTACATAAGTAGTTCATAAACGCTTTGTGTGGTACACCATATATATCATTAAGAATCAACCACATCTTTATGGTTACAGAAATTGCTAAGTATTTTGCTAATATTTTTTCTGAGAACAGGTGTACATACAAAAGTTTTGTAAGTAGAAAAGCAACCATGGGATGCATTTCCTTCA